CTCAGTCTTAGGGAGGCACTGTGTGCCTGGGCCTCCATGAAACAAGGTGGAGAGCTTAGAGCTTTTTCAGTGATTCTGTTCCTTCTCTCTCTGGCAGCTTAACTCTCTCTTATATTTGTGAGTGGTTTTGAAGCGTTTCCTGCTTCTCTCCCAGCAGTGGGAAATCTCTACTTGGTGTCTGGGGTCTTTGGCCAAAGACATTTCCTTGCCCCTCCACCAGAGAGTTTTTTTTTTTTTTCCTCTCCCCCTCCTCCAGTTATAATTAATCTTTTCCTGTGCCCTGGCAGTGACAGACTTTGTTGCTTTTTCCTAGTGGATTAAGGCTTTGCTTTACAGGGGAGATTTAGAAGCTGTGCAGAAAAAACCATTTACACTAATGGATGATTTCACAGATGCCATTAAGAGGGTTCTAGTCAGTGGGCTCTATTTTGATCATAGTTGCTTAAAATAACACAGAATTTGTAAAAGCTGAACTGCAGGTAATTTTTATATTCATATTTCATTTGCTGATTTTGTTCCTGTTTTCTGAAACTATTTCACTAATCCTTCTTGATAATTGATAATTATGAGGCATTTTGCCTTTAAAAATACTTAACTCCCAAAACCTTTTTAGCTATTGGCATTGTCCTTTTTTTATTTTTAATTTGTGACTGCTGTAAGTCAGTAATTCTAAGGACACTTTTTTTTTAATAAATTTATTTTATTTATTTATTTTTGGCTGCATTGGGTCCTCGTTGCTGCACGCAGGCTTTCTCTAGTTGTGTTGAGCGGGGGTTACTCTTCATTGCGGTACAGGGGCTTCTTATTGTGGTGGCTTCTCTTGTTGCAGAGAACGGGCTCTAGGCACATGGGCTTCAGTAGTTGTGGCTCACGGGCTTAGTTGCTCCACAGCATGTGGGATCTTCCTGAACCTGGGATCGAACCCGTGTCCCCTGCATTGGCAGGCGGATTCTTAACCACTGCGTCACCAGGGAAGTCCCAAGTGCACTCTTAATTTAAGGTTGAAATGTTCATGATTGCCACATTCTTGTTAGAATGAACTAATACCCATACTTGGTGATACCACTATATACTTTTTTTTTTTAATAAATTTATTTTTATTTTTTGCTGTGTTGGGTCTTCATTTCTGTGCGAGGGCTTTCTCTAGTTGCGGCGAGCGGGGGCCACTCTTCATCACGTTGCACGGGCCTCTCTTGTTGTGGAGCACAGGTTCCAGGCACGCAGGCTCAGTAGTTGTGGCTCACGGGCCCAGTTGCTCCACGGCATGTGGGATCTTCCCAGACCAGGGCTTGAACCCGTGTCCCCTGCATTGGCAGGCAGATTCTCAACCACTGCGCCACCAGGGAAGCCCCTACTTTTTTTGCGGTACGCGGGCCTCTCACTGTTGTGGCCTCTCCCGTTGCAGAGCACAGGCTCTGGACGCGCAGGCTCAGCGGCCATGGCTCACGGGCCCAGCCACTCCGCGGCATGTGGGATCTTCCCGGACTGGGGCACGAACCCACGTCCCCTGCATCAGCAGGCGGACTCTCAACCACTGCGCCAGCAGGGAAGCCCCCTACTTTTTTTTTTTTTTTAAAGCTGAGGGGAAAGTCAAGAGACTTCTTCCCAACAGGATGGAAATTTTATTTTTTATTTTATTTTATTTTACTTATTTATTTTTGGTTGTGTTGGGTCTTCGTTGCTGTGCACAGGCTTTCTCTAGTTGCGGCAAGCGAGGGCTATTCTTTGTTGTGGTGTGCGGGCTTCTCATTGTGGTGGCTTCTCTTGTTGCAGAGCACAGGCTGTAGGCGCACAGGCTTCCGTAGTTGTGGCATGCGGGCTCTAGAGCGCAGGCTCAGTAGTTGTGGTACACAGGCTTAGTTGTTCCATGGCATGTGGGATCTTCCAGGACTAGGGATTGAACCCATGTCCCCTGCATTGGCAGGAGGATTCTTAACCACTGCGCCACCAGAGAAGACCCACAACTATATACTTTAGATTTTAAAATCCAGGATGAACAGTATAAACATGATTATTAGTTTGATAGACATTATAAATGCCAGACTACACCCCCCCCATTTTTTTTAACTCCCATTTTATTTACAAGAACAAACTCTTCAGCCCTCACTGAAATGGTTAGGCAGGGTAAAGACTTCTTGAGTGGCAGTTTAGCAAGGAAGTGATGAGCCTGGACTCTGGGGCCAGACCACTTGGGTTCTAATTAGTTTCACATCTTAGTAGTTGTGTGACTTTGGACAAGTTACTCAGCCTCTTGATGCCTCAGTTTCCTCATCTAAATGGGAGATACTAATAGTATCTACCTCAAATGTTTATTGTGAGAATTATGAGAATTAATATATGGAAAGCACCCAGAACAGTGCCTGGCACATAGAAAGTACTATATAAGTGTCCGTTGTTATTGTTGTTTGCTATAAGATTCTCATTGTAAAAATCTGAAGATGTTGATAAGCTGAACCAAACCAAAAATGGAAAGGCAAGGGACTGGAAAAAATCCTTGAAAGAGATTATTTGGCCACAGCCTATTCCAGAGGCTACAAGAAGAGAAGGGCAGAAGGAGTGACCTAGCCGCAGATACTGGAGTATAAAGCCTTGGTTACATTTGATCAGATCTCAATTTCTGATCACACATTAAAATGCACTTGGGTAACTGAATCCAAAGCTAAGTCCATGGAGCAGGGGTGGAAGGGAGGGAAAAGAGAACGGGCCAAGCAGAGTGTTGGCCAGAAGAGCACAGGCTCACTTCTGTAGTTCCTTCATTCTGATCGGAACACTAATAATCTGGAATTGGACTCACTGATGGATTATTATTCCAGGTTTAGCTGTGTGAATACCAACAAATTATTTAACCCCTTTGAGTTTCAATTTCTTTATAAAATGGAGATGATAATAACTAGACTTGCTAACGATGTTAAAGGAAAGAATCCATATAAAGTTCTTATTATTAGCTCAGTGCCTTAAACAGGAAATGTTCCGAATGGTTTTCATTTTCACCGCCATGCCCCCCGTCGTCGTCGTCATCCTCATCCTCATCGACTGGTATGTAGAATCATAAGCTCCTGAATCCCGACCTGACACAGCCTCTGCTTCTACACTGTTTCTCATACCTCCAGCTTCTAAAGGAAATAAGTACACAGAGACCAAGACCAAACAGGTGCTCACACTAATATTACGATGAAGCTTTGGCCTCATAGGTAGACCCTAGTTGAACTAGCCTGGCCTGTTTGGAGAAGTAGATAATGGAGACCTGATTTGGTCTTTCGCTCCTGTATATACCAACACAGCTCTTCTTTGGCAAAGTAGAGAGGCTTTAAACCCATGTCATCTTCTAATGATTATAGTTTTATTTCCAATCTTTATGCCTTTTGCTTCTTTTTCTTGTATGAATTAGGACCTTCATATGATGCTAAATAAGTGTTGATAGCAGATCTCCTTGTCTCATTTCTGTTCTCAGGGGGAATGTCTTAGTTCGGGCTGCCATAACAAAATGCCACAGACTGGGTGGCTTAAACAACAGAATTTTATTTTCTCACAGTTCTGGAGGCTAGAAGTCCAAGGTCAAGGTGCCAGCATGATTGGTTTCTGGTGAGAGCTCTCTTCTGGCCTATAGATGGTCACCTTCAACCTTTGTCTTCACATGGCAGGGGCAAAATAAAATAAAAGAATATAATAATGAAAAGTTTTTGATCTAGTTCTAAAGTGATTAAGCAGAGACTTGAGTCCCCAGAATATATGGATGCACTGTCACTTTTAATTTATGTTTATTAAAAATATTTGACTATGAAAAATTAAATGGAAATAAACTACTTTCCTTTAGATTTCATATGATAGCAATTAACACAGCAAAAGAGGCAGCATGTTAAATAGATTTTCTTGTTGGACTTCCTGGGTTCAGATTCCAGGTCCTTCATTTACTAGCTCTGTGATCCTGGCAAGTTAGCTAACCTGTCTAAGCCTCAGTTTCTTTTGTAAAGGGCCTGTAAGAAGGGCCTTTTGAGAAGATTTAAGTGATAATCTCTGTAAAGTGCTTGGCACATAGCAACCACAGTTTATTGACTGTCAACATTTTTGCTAAACAAAATTTAAATTAAATAAACAAAATTTAATTTTGTTAAATTAAAAGACACTTGAAAGTAATTCAAGTTAAGGAAGAAAAATTCCTTCTGGACGCAACTACTTGAAGTTAAAGAAAGTACAAATAAAATAGCCTTTCCGATATATTTATTTTAGCATGTGTCTGACCAAATTATTTTAGTGAAAATGTCTCAACTACATGTAAAAGTAGCTTCAGAATACAGCTTAATTAAATATTTTGAAAATAGAATTAATTTGAGAAACAGAGCCTTGTCACATTGTAATAAGTTGTAATATCAGTCTTAAAAAAACAGAAAATTATTAATTTTAGAAAACAGCTATATTGTAATATAGTATACTCTTAGGTTTATTACATGTCAACCATATCTTTTTGAAAAAGGTTCACAACAATTAAACAGTAGATTTTTAAAGAGCAGCAGTGATGTGAGTCTTAAGTCTAAAAGCTAATACTGGGGTAGAAATATACATTTCTTAAACTATTAAAAGATACAGTCCTTTCATGAGAAATTGTTCAAAGAACTATTCCTATATTCCTAAAGCATGTAATTTAGGTACTTGAGTGCCAGAGTTTCTTTGGAGAGTGTGTGTCGACGCATTTCTTCTGTTACATAAAGTAAGAAATCAGATGTTTAAAAACATTGTGCCCAGAGATGCAGAGGGACATTTTGCTATTAAGAATACTTCGGATTTCTGTGAATGTAAATTTATAAGTCTAAAGAAGTAAACTTTTCACGAGGAAAATGGAAAAATTTCCAAAATGACTTAAAACATTGCAAATATATTTACTTTCTTCTATCAGATGATTTATAAACATACTACTGTCTTCCCTTAATTTAAATTTCTGAAAGATTGGGAATGTTTGTATTAACCAGATATATCTGTAGTAATTACTGTTTATTTTCATAAAGGTCCAGAGGTCCAAAGAGACGACATTCTGTGGATAGCCATGGCAGGGACTCATCAGATATGGGCATTCCTGTTGGACTATGGCAGATTACCAAAGAAAAAGTAAGTGGTAACTTTGGTAACATCTCTCTTCGGGTAAGCGTGGCGTTCACGGAACTCCTTTTCCCGAAGTCTCCATCCTCGTAGCTCTCACCGTACTGGTCAGGATGTGCTGGGCTGTGCTCCCATAACCAGCAGCCCAGGTCCCCGGTGGCTTAGGACGAGGTCTGTTTGCTGGGGGAGCACTACTCTGCCCCCCAGGCTGATGCAGCAGCCACCGTCTGGAGCTCTGCCAGCTGTCCTGGCAGAGAGAGACAGAGCTGGGGAGTTGCTCACTGGCTCTGAAAACTCCTCAGAAGTGACACACATCACTTCTACCCACATTTCGTCAGCCCAAGTAAGGCTCGTGACCACACCCAACTTTGGGGAGCTTGGGAAGAGCGGTCCCCCCGAGCATCCACAAGGAGAACTGGGAGCATCTTTCATTTTAATGCGCATTTCTAATATCCCTGATCGTTAATTCAGATATTTGAAGACTGCATAGCAGACTAGTTAATAGCTCAGGTTTTGTAGTCAGGCCTGAGATTGAGTCCTGGCTTTGCCACTTATTATCTACATGAGCTTGGGAGAGTCACTTTAACTTTCTAAGCCTCAGTTTCCTTATTTATATCTACCTCATAGGCTTGTTTTGAGAATTAATGTGTGTGAAGAGCTCAGCCTGGTGCCTGGCATGTACAGTAAATGTTGGTAGCATTGCTGCCACTGTTAGGGGTATAAAGCTGGAAAAGTAGTGTCTCTACAAATTTTCTTGTATTTTTTCTATAGAGCCTTTCCTATTCTCCCTAACACCCCAGCCTTCCCCTTCCCCGCCCTCCCCTCCCATCTCTCCCTTCTTCCCCTCTCCCTCCCTCTCACCCCTCTCTCTCTCTCACCTTCTGTTTTTGGTTGCACTTATTTGTTTACATAACTGTTTTCTCCTAGTAGACTGCCTCTTAAAGGAAAGGACCCTTTCGCATTCACTCTTGTGTCCCCTGTACCTAGCACAGTATCTGACACATGATAGGAGCTCAGTAAGGGTCTGCAGAAGAAATAAATGAATGAAAGTCATAGACCATAAAGACTGTCAAACCACCCTAGAAAGTAAGTGTCAGTCACCTCAGTTACCTTTATCAGTAGAAAGGGGCAGTCATATAGATAATCCAAAATATCAGATATTCTAAAGAGTGTATGTGTGTGTGTTGCTTTGTACGATGTTTTGCAACATTTAATCATTCATCTAACAAATATTTATTAAGCAAACTAGGCACTGTGCTTGGCCGTAGGGATGAAATGATATGTTTACTATATTAAGAATAAAATGAAAAGATGTGGTTACTGTCCTCAGCAGGTTTTCAGAGGAAGAATCAGATCAGCAAAAACAAACAAAAAATAGTTGGGAAGTACAGGCGCTGTGTGCAAAAGGAATCACTGCAGTAGTCCTTTAAGTGGAAGTTGTCCCTGACATAAATAAGAGGAACACCTGATATAAATAAGATCTGAGGTATCAAGGAAGGCTTCCTGGAAGATGGTACTAAACTAAAACCTGATAGAGAGTAGAAAGGAGTTCAGAAGAGTAGAGGTTTTCCAGGCAAGAAATGACCCTAGTGATGTCAGTAGCAGCCAGATCATGAAGTGCCTTGTGAGTCTTTTTTTAGAGATTTGAAAGTTATTCTGCATATACCTTTATAGGAAGTTTTAAGCTGGGAAGTGACATAAGATTTGTGGTTTTGAAAGGACACTGGCAGCATTTGGAGCGTGACAGTACTGGAGACAGAGATACAAGTGAGGAGGCGATTGCTGTTATCCAGGCCAGAGCCGACAGTAGCCCAAACAGCGACAGGACCGATGACATATAAGATGAGGAAAAAAGTAGTAGCAGAGATGACCAGAATATGCTGTTGTAAGCGATGGCTGTTTTGGACCTAGATGGTCAAGAGTGGACTAAATTTCCACATAAGTAGAGTTGTCACTTGTTTGCAATAGTAAAGTGTCCGTTTGGATCACATTGACCTGTATTATAATTTTAAGGACCCTTTATCTTTATTTGTTACTGATCTTCAAGTGGTAATAGCTCCTGAGCTTTTAGAAGTTACCGTTTCTCCCCAGTCTTTCTACCTTTAATAAAGGGAACTCCTTTTTAAAATCGTTGTAACTCCTTTATTTGTTTGGCATATTGGTTATTACACGTATTCCTCTGAGTAGGTTATTTTTACGAGTTCCTTGAATAAATGGCTGTATTTATACATTTTGTATCCCTTTGCCTCCACTCCTGGCTCCCTACCAAAGTTAGCATTGGGATCATATCAACTAGTAAATGATATGATGGTCATTTTAGACTTTTGCATGTTGTGCCCTATTAGGAAAAGATATACATACAGTCTCTCGTTATTTTGCATCTGAAGTCAGCTTCTTCCCTTCCCTCAACCCAGGACATTACCATGTCTTCCTTACAGTTCCTCTGACATAAACTTAGAAGCCAAGGTATAAAACTTTCTCTGCATTACAAAAGGAATCATTACGATAGTCCTTTAAGTAGAAATTTCCCTACTGTATATAAGAAATGGATTTGTACAATCGATTAGTTAAAGCAGTGTAATCATATTATTACCTGGCTATCTTACCATGAGCACCTGGCTATCTTCACAAATTATTCTTTAATTCTTTTTTCTAGTCTCTACTTATATACAAGAAAATAAAACATTTTTAATGAAAATTTAAGCTTTAAGCTATCAAGAGCTAGAAAAGGTTACCTAGATCTTTTTAATTCCCTTTCAGAACCTAATGTTGCATGAAGCTAAGAAGAGGTCAGGAAGTAAAGGTGGGATCTACCTGTACCTACCTCTCATCACTTGGAGGAAAAAAAAAAAAAAAAACTATCCCATCAATGATATGACCTTTATTCTTATATTTCTAACTTCGTCAGTGATTTCCTGTCTTGCCATTGAGAATAGTTTCACTTTTGTGTATGTCAAAAAGTAAAAAAGGTAGAAAGGTCTCTACACAGTGGATAAATAAGTTAATGATTAGAAACGACAGTGAAAGGTGATTTGCACAATTTAGGCCAAGATCCCCGGACTTGTGTGTGTGTGTGTGTGTGTGTGTATAATGCTGTCACCATTGATTGCGTCATTTACATTCATTTGTTTAATGAAATTGGACGCAGTATAACACAATGTTGACTTCACTATGAATTTGCCTTTCTTAGTGAGTTAAAAAAAGGAACCTGCCTTCGGTTTGCTGGAAGTGGAAATGAAGAGAATCGAAATAACTCATATCCTCACAAAGCCGGTTTCGCCCAACCTTCAGGTCTTTCTCTGGCCTCAGAGGAGCCCTGGAGCTGCCTGTTCGTAGCGGACAGTGAGAGCAGCGCGGTGAGGACCGTCTCGCTGAAAGATGGGGCAGTGAAGCAGCTCGTGGGAGGAGAGAGAGACCCTACGGTAACGAGACGCACCCTCACGTGGCGCGCCTGCTTAGCGAGCCTGTGCCTTTCTGAATTGTGAAGAGTTAATAAAGCTTAGGGAGGAGAAAGTTCTTGGCTTATCCATGTTAAAATGGAAGTCAGACCAAAGGAAATGGGAGTGTGAAGAAATACAAGTAACAAAAGCACCGAAGAAAATAAGATGACTCGATTATATATAAATGCCGAAGTCTCAGGAGAAAAGGAAGGGTAAATTATTGATGACCAAGCAAGGGGAAAACGTAGATTAGATATTTGGCAGTAGGGTGGAAAGAGCACCAGATCAGTAGACTTGACCTGTTCCTGATCAGAAGTGTGATTTTTGTGAATAAAATTCCTAAGCACCACAAATTAATTCAAGTTCAGAATTCTATCAGTTTTTTCTAATTTCAGTCAAATGCCCCACCCTATTTATATGAAATCAGACTTTTTCCCCTTTAAGTAGCATATACAGCTATCTTAATTTTCACTTTATACCCTAACAAAGCACTGTAAAAAATTTTAATACATGCTGTTTCTTTCTTTTTTTAAAAAAAAAAAATAAAAGAATTTATTTGCTTTTGGTGATGTTGACGGAGTAGGAATCAATGCAAAGCTTCAACACCCACTTGGAGTAACTTGGGACAAGAAAAGGAATTTAGTTTACGTGGCAGACTCTTACAATCACAAGGTGAGTCTTGAAAGAATTATATAATACCCTGCTTTTCACTTGCGGTATTTAAAATGCTGAAAGATCTGTGAGCCTCCTACAATTGCCGCTAAAATATAGCGAGGAATGACAGTTTTGGATAGCTGTACATAAGCCTTTCTGTTCTTTTCTTGGTCCTTTCCTGCAGAGAGGATGTGATGGTACTCTGAGCTGGTGGGAAAGGACTGAACAAATCCCCAATGACTAGCCAAAACTTGTGAATTGCAAGCCATTAAAGCTGCTTAGTAACGTTGAGTAAATGAGGACAAGGCGGGTAGCAGGGAAATTAACACGTCAACTAAGGGATGAACATTTTTGAGCCTTTGCACAGTTGCCACGCCTGTTAGCAAGTAATTCCGTTTTCATCAGCATTTCCATTTTTTTTGTCTCTACTGCATTCTTACTGTGCATTTTTCCTTTTTATAAAATCAGTGGAACCCAAATGTTAATATTTTTGTGATGAGAGACTGTGAATTTAACGTAATTGAAACACAGCGAGGAGTCATTAAGTTTAACGCAAGTAGCCAAATCCTCAGCCAATGTTAGATATTCATGAGAAGAAAGTCAGTTCCACTCTGTCCCATTGTGAGGGGAAAGAAGAACATTAACATTTTTTTTTAATTCCATAAATAATTTTATCAAAGATTGCTTCTAGAAGACAGGATGTAACTGGGGATTTTATAGCGCTTAGCCCTCAGAATGAAATATCTCCCCTTAGACTGTAATTTGAATGTTTGGCTTTTCAAGAAAATGTGGAAATGTCTGTTCTTTTTCTGAGATTTATTAAGAATACTAACGTCAATCAGGAATTCTCTGGCTTGCTTAATATGATACTTTTCCATACTACAAATGTGCAGTCGAGCTTCAGATATATAAATTTTTGTTCTGTCTTCTTAGATTAAAGTTGTGGATCCAAAAACAAAAAACTGTACAACGTTAGCGGGAACTGGCGATGCAAGTAATGTTATCGGTTCCAATTTTACCGACTCAACTTTTAATGAACCAGGAGGCTTGTGTATTGGAGAGAATGGTCAGTTATTATATGTGGCAGACACCAATAACCATCAAATTAAAGTGATGGATTTAGAAACAAAAACAGTTTCTGTGGTAAGTAATCTTTAAGTGAAAGGGCATCATTTTAAGAAAGATTCTAAGATCCTCAGCAACAACAGAGGCACTTTTGGTTAGGCCGCCTCTAGTGGTGAAAGTGAAACGTGTGGGTAGAGTAGTGAGTGGGTGCCTATTCCAAGGATATCCTGTTATTTTTAAAATAAAAATTCCATTTGTGCCAAGAGTGTTTGAGGAAGATTCTAGAAGTTGGAGAGAATTTGATGAACTTTCAGAAAAGGAAAAAAAAAAGGACTCATCTATTTTTAAATGTATGGACATACTGACACACTACACATACAAACTATGTGGGTTGGGTTGTTTAATCTTGGGTGTTTTTTTTTTTTAATGATCCTCTGACTAGTGGGTAATCTTTGTTTCCTGTGGTGAATCCATTACCAAATAATCTTTAAAGGAAGCTCTAGGAGCCACATTTCTCAAGACTTAAAAATAAGATTGGGAGAAACTTAAGTAAGTTCTAATTTTAAAGATATGGACATGGTCTCTAATACAAGTTACCCCTTTATATATCACATTTGCCTGGAAAAATGCAAGTTTTTTTTCTAAAATTCTAGGAATTTCCAAGATGTGTTTTAAAATAAAAACACAGATTCCCATCGTAAGTGTCACTTCTCTTGACATAGATCTCTGATATAAGATGAATGACATCTTATAGTTGGCAATGAAAATTATAAGAGGGTGTATATTATATCCACTACATTTAAATTGATAAAGTTTTATTTTAATTTCCTGCTATCTATAAACATATTGGACAGTTAATTTAATTCGGTTTCATTCATAAATGTTGGCAGTTTTTTGGCCAGGATGAAATATTTTTCTGAACCTACAAAATAATCATGAGGAAATTTAAGTAAACAACTTCTGATTCAGAAGAGAATGGCAATTAAGTTTCCTTGACACAGGATCTCATGTTTGTACTGAAGTCTGAAAATAAGCTCTGTCAGTCTATAGTACTATAAAGTACTTGTGCTTTAAAAAACAGATTTTCTTGTTTTCTAGCTCCCAGTCTTCAGATCTGAAAGTGCTATGGTGGACGGCCCATTCCCAGCAGAAAAACAGAAGACCTTACCCAGACTACCTAAATCTGCTCCAGGCATTAGACTTTCCCCGGTGGCTGCATCTCCAGGGCAAACTCTTCAGTTCAAGCTAAGATTAGACCTCCCATCAGGAACAAAGCTAACTGAAGGAGCACCCAGTTGCTGGTTTCTATCAGCTGAAGGTATGACAATAATCTTGCAAATGCAAATATTTCATAAATTCTTGAGATTTGATCTAGTAATTTTTCTCACTTGTGATATGTTTACAGCTGGGCAGGATTTGAGGAAGGTCTTGTAAAACAGAAAGATCCAGATTGAACCCCACTTTAGCAGTTTTCTTTAGCCTATGAGATTCTTTTATTAAATAACAGTGTAACTCACCTGAAGTTAATCATAATTGCCGCCATTTGCTATCAAGCAAATTCATTACGTGAGACAGACTCGTGTGGTCTTAGAATGTTAGTTAGGTCCTTGAATATTAGGGCTGAGAGGCACCAAAGGACACCATCTGTTTTAAGACTCTTATAAGTGAGGAGACTAGGGGCTCAAAGAGATAAAGTGATTTGCTGAAGGGCATATATTGAATTAGGTCAAAAGATGGAATTTGAGCCCAGCTCTGCTGGCTCTTAGTGTATTGTCTTTTCCATTGTGCTACTCCATCTCAAACTAGCTCTAGGGTTATTAGTCCTAAAAACGAAGTTAGTTTTTTAAAGACATAAAATTCAAAGCCACCAGTTAAGCATTGGGATGTTACAAAAGTTTCCAAACCTCACTCTCGGTTTCTGTACTTAACTCACCATGGTTTGTGAACCAGCACCGGCCCACAGACTATACTTTGGTGACCCTGTTCTAGCGCACTGCAGCATAAAGAGATCAAGGAGGGAGGTAGGGACCCACATGGAAGACTGAAGAGTGAGTAAGCAAGTAGAAGCAAAACCAAGAGAGAGGGTAGTTTCCTGGAGCAGGTGTTTTAAGGAGCGTGATCAGCTGTGTTGAGCACGATTGATAGATCAGGTGAAATAAGGACTAAGAATTGATCGTTGATTCAGTGTTATCGTTAATGGATGTCCTCGACCAGGGCCGTTTCAGAGTGGTGGAGGAGGTGCCTGATTCGAGCAGGTTAGAAAAGAATTGAAGGAGAGGAACTGGAGAAAGTAAATATAGATAGCTCTTAGAGGAGCTGAGCTAAAAAGCTAAGGGAGAAGAGAGCAGTTGCCCTCAGGGGAAAACGGAGTTGAGAGAGCAGTGTGTTCGTTATATTGATGGCAAAGATCGGTAGAGGAAAGGACTGATGGTATGTGTTGCGGGGTATCCTAAAGGATAGGAGGATGGGAGAGGTTGGCAGGCTGGCCTTTGCCAGGAATGTGGACCTCATTTCCACGGTAAGGAGGGAGGGCCCAGTGTGCGACCCAGAGATCTAGATGGGTAACTGTGAAGTGGATGCTTGTGGAAGCACTCTTCTGCGTGCTTCGGTTTTCTTAATTATTGGGAAGCACAGCCATCAGCTGAGAGGGGGAGGGGGAGGTTTTGGCGGTTTGAAAAAAGAAGAGGGTCAGGAAGGTGGGAGGGTGACTGCGTGAGGGAAATACAGTGTGATTGCTGAACGGCCAGGAGGCTGTGTTTGAGGCTGGCTGTCATGAATTGAAAGTTAGGCTAGTCCACGTGGAGGCTGTTTGTCTCCAGCCAAGGTGAGGCACGAGGGAGCAGAAGTGTAGGTACTGGCTACGCAGTTTAATCAGCAGGTCTCTGGGGTCCTGACCCAGTATTGATGATGATCACCACCGTACCGCTAAATCTCACGGATTCTCTTCTAAAGAATTAAATTGATTTTTCCCTTGAGTTTGATTTTTTTTTAATATATTCTTGCTTTTAACTGAATTAACTTGACACAAACTCTAATTCAGTTCCTTGGTGGTTTTATTATTATCTTTCACTTTTCCAGATAGCGTCTGTCAAACGCTTTAGAGCTTTCACTTGCTGTTCATTTTATTTCAGTAGTATCATTAGGACTTGACTTACCAGTTATTAAGCCTGAAGCTGTGTTTTCTCCTCTAGGGATTCCAAAGGTAGAATTTGAGCCCCATTAACTTTCTTGCTACAAGAATGCCAAAGCCATTGCTTAAAAGTATGCCATTCAAGTAGAAGAAAAAACTTTGTTGGAGGAGGATGTGTAATTAAATACAGATGAATTACTATGATTAGAGTCCAGGCAGAGCCTTTGTCCTCAGTCACTAATTTGTGATCTTTTAATCTCAGAACATTTCCTGTTTGAGTCTATTCTCGAAAGTATTCAGTTACTGTAAATTATGTAAAGATTTGGGTGTGTGTTTGAATCACAGTGTGAACTTATTTCATGAACTTACAAGTAATCAGTGTACTGCTTGTCTTCTAGCAGTGCTTTCCAACATCTCTAAGAGTAGGCAACAATTTGAAAGTGAACAGTAGTAAGTTCCGGTCCCTAGTGATCTTGCTGTGTCCTAGCCTCCCGTGCTCTTTCACAGGTTCTCACTCAGTTTTGAATTTGCTGCCCGACTCCTCCTGTCTCAGGCCCTCTCACACACTTTTCTTTTGTACATTACCCAGGTCCAGGCTTTATGCCTTCTTACCTTGGTACCTTCTCAGAGCAGCAGCTACTGTCCTGCAACTGCCCGCTTGGTATCCACACCAAGAGAACAGAGCGATCTGCCGGAAGGAACTGCTGAGTTAGAGTTTGCTGGCTCTGGAGTGACTGACTGAGCCTGTGGGGAGACCACCCCCATCTACTCCCCACAAAGGAGAGGGCTGAGCCATGCAGTACTAGAGGAGGATGTTTGGGCAGAAGAGAACTCAAACCCTGGCCATTCATTCCACAGTCCTCTGTAGGTTCAGAGCAAGTCCTCAACTGCCAGTTTAACTGTCCTGCCTGTGTCCATTAGTCTGAAAGCATTGCATCATTTGGAGATAACTGCTCTTTAACCGCACACAGAAAAATTAAAAACAGAGTATTTTTTTTAATAGGATACTGGTAAATTAACATGTTTATTTTAACTCTGTCAAATACACCAGTTAATTAGTATCAAGTTATTGGAGTACAAAACATGGATAGTATTAAAGGAAAGTGAAGTGATCTAAAGAGAAGATTCTTAGCTATTTTTAGCTATTTTAGATACATGTGATGTGTCCAAAAATTATCTAGAGAAACACTGTTTTATTTCTAGAATTGGACATTAAGATAGTGTAATTTACTATTTTCCTGTTTTTATTTAACATATGAGAAGTTCCCCCACTAGCCTGCTATCTAACAAAATCAAACATTAAAATAAAACATATTCTTCAGTCCAGAAGCAAGCAAAAAGGCCAGAGAATTTTAAAAGAATTGTTTAAAAGCTCTGCACTTAACTCTTTAGATTCTCAACCTTTCACATTCTCCTTACTCTTATTTGATATATGTATCTCAGATTTAATTTTTCAGTCAACAGAATATTAGAAGCAATAAACTAAAGGAGAGATGAAGAGGACCAGTAGAGGCAGGTGCTCTAGTCTGTTGACTCATCCTGAGGTCAAAAGAGAGAAAAGCTAAAAAGTAGACGTGGAATTTCATCACTACTCAGTAGATGGTCCACTTTTTGTACAGATGGCCCCGAGTCGTTAAGTCGTTAGATTACGTTCAACGTATTCTATTTAAGATGGCAGGAAAGCAGGTCCTGCATTTCCCAAATGATGGCTCTTAATTAGCTAATGCTGAGTGTCAGCCTAAGTATGCGCGTCCTCAATATGACGCATGTGTTCCTTCTGAGAGAAGGCACTGGGTGAATAAAAACATTTTAAAAACTTTAATACTAGAAGACTTAATGATTTTTAGTGGTTTTTTAGACTTTTGTTACATAGATAATCTACGTATTTAAGTCTCAGAGGAGTTTTATGTGTTAAAATGAGGTAGACAAAATCTCTATTCATTTTCTACATTGAGTCCCTCGGAATAATGTATTCAGTGTTACTTGTTTCTTAAAAAAATCAGTGGCTTTTTAAAATTACCACCTTTGGATATTCAATAGTTCATCGTCTTGAAAGTCACTGCAGTTGTACATACATTTGTATTCCCTAGATTATTTTGTAGTTTGCATATTTCTAGACACTTATATGGTAAAAATGATCTATTTTCTCAAGTGTCCTATGTTTATTTCTAGAACTTATTAATAGTTTTCATTTTAAATTCCATAATCACATTTTAAATCTATAACCATATTGGCAGTATTCATCTGGATTTCAGTAGAAATAACTTTATAATTTATTTTACAGCGTTCAAAGGAAGAATTTTAATTTGACATCAAGATGATTAGACGAGGAACTACTTCTATCTTATTTTGTATCCTCCACACAGAGCACAGTGCCTGGCACTTAGAGGCTTTCAGTAAATATTTGTTGATTGAACGAATCTAGTGTTCGTAAGGTTTGTCCACTTTCCTACTTGACTTCTTATGCAGTCTTAATAATTTACCTGTTTATTTTCTAGGCAATGAATGGCTTCTTCAAGGACAGATACCATCTGGAGAGATAGAGAGCATTTCCAGTCAACCAACAATCTCACTGCAGATCCCTGGGGATTGTTTATCACTCGAAGCCGTTCTCTCTATCAGCGTATTTCTCTATTACTGTAGTGCAGACAGCAGTGCCTGTATGATGAAGGGGATTTCGTTCAGTCAGCCTTTACAAATAACCGATACACAGCAAGACTACATACCTCCAGTAGAACTCAAGTATATATTTTAGCAAGCTGCCTAGCATCCCAGTGCCTCCTGTCCTCCATCCCCACCATCACTGTGTAATTTATGAAAAGAAACTTTATTTCTGCCTCTGGGTACCCAGAAACCCATTGTTGAGTTCTAGCAACTGATACTAAAATAAAGCTATGCTCCTTATTTATTTATTATAGACAAATTCCTGCCTTCTCACTGTGTACCAGCTAAGTCATTGACCGTGATTTGAACCATGATCCTGTAATCTGTGCTGCTATTTGGCACAAGACTTAAGTCCACGTTATAGGACAGAATATTATCATGAGATAATTTGCAGTGAATACTGATAACAATAATGATACCAAATTTTTTTTTTTTTTTTTTTTTTTTTTGCGGTACACGGGCCTCTCACTGTTGTGGCCTCTCCAGTTGAGGAGCACAGGCTCCGGACGCACAGGCTCAGCGGCCGTGGCTCACGGGCCCAGCCGCTTCGCGGTATGTGGGATCTTCCCGGACCGGGGCACGAACCCACGTCCCCTGCATCGGCAGGCGGACTCCCAACCACTGCGCCACCAGGGAAGCCCCGATACCAAATATTTTAACTAACTTTTTTACACTTATCAAGCAGCACATCTGAATGTGTAAATTGCACAATAACTTTAAACAGAGTTAAGATCCAGTCCACATATTATAAGGACGCCTGCCATTCAAGGTGCAAGTTCTGTTTTAGGCCCCCAAAAACGTCTTTTCATCACAGTAGCAGCTTAAAGAGTACCTAGGTGGTAAAAATGTTCTTTGTTCTCTTCTGCGATTTTCTCATTTGAGATATATTCAGTCTGTTTTAAATTATTTGCTATTTTAACATACCACTATTAATGGTATGTTAAATATTCTGTATGTTTCTATATACAGAAAATATATTTCTGTATTTCTAAAAGTTAGAGTCTCTAAGGACATACAGGCTCACTCCTTTAACTTTTTTTCTGAATGAACAGTCTTACCAAATAACGGATGAGTCCACAGAAATGTTATGACTTTCAAGGAGAAAGGGACTTTGGGACACATTACTGTCTGTGATACCACTTAAAGAACTGTGACACTGAATCTGATGCAAATGGGTATGTATGTTGTCTTAGAAGTTTACATTTCAGTTGAAGCGTTAAATGCAGATGTTGTTGGGTTTGGGGGTTTTTTTGGTTCCCATATTCAGAATTTAAATTATGATCATTTATTGTGATGTTTTTAAAAATTACTGTCAAGCCTTCAAAGCGAAAATTTCAATGTGAAGCACTTTCATGCTATTAATATGTATAGTATATCTTAATATATTACTTTAAAATATTAAGGCTGAAACATACAGTGATTTGATGACACTTTTTTGGTGGGTTTTTTTTTAACCTTAAAAGAAATAGTCACCAGAAGATATTGAAAGGTTTTTTTAATCATAATTTCTCTTTATAACTATTTTAAAAGCCTCTGCTTGTTTTTACTAAAACTGATTCAACATGTTTGTGGTTTAATAGCTTACAAGATTTTTAAAAACAGGAGAATCATATTTGTTCAGTAAATATTTATAGACAATATAGCATAATACGCCTTCTCCCTTCAAAACCAGTGCTCAATTTGAAGTGTAATGTTTAAGCATGATAATCTGCCCATATCTTTATATGTTTTTGAACTATAGTTTTGAACATACTATTCACTTCTTTTATTCAAGTTACCTAAATCTGAAGTAAGGAAATGCATAGATCATGACTTTCATTTAATTTGTAGCCTGCTAAAGATATTTTTAAAGAGAAGTATTATAAATGTGAAGTTAAAAGGAATTCTGTTTAAAATCATATATAAGTACCACATAAACCTTTTCTCTCCATAAAAAAAATATGTTCTGTAATAAAAGGATATATAACATTAATTTGCTCTTTTATGGAGAATAGGCCATGGTAATTTTTAAATCTCATTTTATTATTATAGTTCTCACTTCCAGTTGGACAGGATAGTTTGGCTTAATTTTTTCCTATTTAAGGACAATAATTTCACTCTCTGAAAGAAGTATATACAGTTTTAAATTGTTAATTCAGGAATGCCTGATAACTGTTTTTTCAGTATTATACACAAATATACACACAGTATGTATTTTCATGTACACTAAAATCCAAAAATATTTCTTGTTCACTTTATCTAGACAGAGTTTTCTGTTAGTATTAAGCTTATGCTCTTCTTGAACATTCTTATTCTTAGCCAGCCACTAGTCTGCATTGTTTTCTACATGCAAAATATTATTTATATGGATTGGTATGATTTTTTGTAAATCACATTAAGCAATATAAATAGGTTCCTAGAATTTATGACTAACATAAATCTCTTACATAAGAGGAAGCACTAGAAAATCTATTTTTAAAAACTTTGTGATTCCTGACTTTGTTTTCTATAAAGATTTCTGCATATTTTTTAATTTACGCATGAGGAAAAGCAAAAGTTATGTTCAGTGATAGTTTAAAAAAAGATTTTAGTGTTAGTCACTGTAATCAAAGTGCCGGTAACGTGGCATTACATACACTTAGACATGATACCTGGGGTCTTTGCCCTAAATTATTCTGCTGCTTTGTCACCATTTTTTCTGCCACTCGTCATGATATCATTTCACAAATGGTAGAATTTTCTTTTCTGAATTTGTACTCAGGATTGAAAGCTCTGAAAAGAATTTTGCTTATCTTGAAAATGCTGTCTGAAGCAAATATTTAACCTTTTCCCAAGGGGAAGCTTTACAGTTTAATCACCCATAAGTGTAACTTTGGTAAAGTTCAATGACTAAACAATTTTCTCCTTAACTGTTCTAATAATATATTTAGCTATAGTGTTATCAGGCCTGCAGAAAGCTATAAATCTTAAAACAGCCCAAAAAAGCTTAGTATATGTAGATGAGTGTATATATATATATGTATGTATGTATGTATGTATGTGTATATATACTCATGCAGATACAAAGATCAACTCAATTTCTCACATGGCCAATATACTTTGGAGCTAGTACCACTGAAATAAGTTATTCTCTGCTTGTTTTTCCATAGTTGGAAAATTTGCGAAGACATGAATAATACATACCTCTGTAATATAATTTTCTGCTTACCCGACATTTAGCATTAGTTTATATCTGCCAATTAAAAGCAGTCTAGCCATTATATTTGGCATCATGTTTAAGAACAGTCATCAAAAACTAAATTTCATAGCTCACGAGTTGCATAAAAATATATATGCAGAGGGACTGTGTCAGTGGCGGAGTATGAATGGTGGACTTGTGAATATTTTTGTTTTCTACTTTTCCGTAATTTTTTTTTAATTGAGCAATGGGTTATTTAAAAAAAAAACAAACCCAACTGGGAATGTGCTTTAAAGATTTAAAATGAACTGAACAGTAAGGACTTGTTCTATAATAGCTTTTCTAACGTCACTTTTATTACCAAAGATCAGAACACAGTTTAGAGCTCTTTGATCTACCACTTCTCTTAAGTATGTGATCTGGTGGAGACAGAAATGATTATGGCTTTTTCTGCTGGAGTTTTTATTGTGTGATGTAGCATAGCGTTTATGAGCACGGACTTTGCAGTCGCTTGGATTCTGCCCTGTAAACTGGGGTTGCTATACCTGCCTTATGGAGTTGCTGTAAGGACTCAATGAAATAGCGTTTGTATAGCAGTTAGTAAATAATGAAACTGCTAGTTATTGGCCTAGTTAATAATAATGTTAATAACTTATGTCTGTAAACACATGGCTTCACATTTTCTTTGCAACCACAGTTTCTAAAGGAAACGAATTTCTCTATCAACCGTTTGGTATTTAATACTCTCCCTAGAGTTGGAATTCAAGAAGAGAAGGTTTTATAATAAACATATTACTATTTTATAAACGTTGTTATAAAGAAACACCTACAGTTTTGTTTTTTTAAGACCTGGAACTGAGTAATAAACTTCCTTAGAGGGTCCAGACATACCCTAAACCACATTCCTGGAACATACTCTGACGGTGCTTTCCTAAATCTTCCAAGTGCCTTCATGCATTTTGCCTCATTTGAGCTTCCGAATAACCTTATGAATCAGACAGGTAGATCTTATGTCCATTTTACAGATGAGGAAGCAGCTTTAGAAGGCTGGCAGCGTGTCTCAAGATCAGCGCTCCCCGAGTAACGGCTGATGCTGGAGTGGTGCCTGGTGCAGTCAGTTGCTCAGCCAGTTTTGTTGAATGACTAAGGGTGACTAGTGAGTGATGGACCTTTTATCTGAACACAGATCTCCTAATTCCTAGCTGTACTCCTACATGTAGAGTGAAAACAGACTGGGATTAAGAGTACTTACTTTTGTGAATGCTTTCTTAAGCCTTTGGCAGTACTTAAAGTAATAATAGCTAAATTTATTCAGTGCTTACTACGTGCCTGACACTTTTCTAAGTGCTTTCTGTGTATTAACTGATTTAATCCTCACAACCACCTTATGAGGGCGGTACTATTTTTCCTTATTTCCCTGATGAAGAAACTGAGACATAAAGAAGTTATAAGCAGTTACACCAGTGTAATGGAGATCACACACTTAGGACTGGCCGAGCACGGGTGCGTCTACTCAGCTACCGTGCTGTGATGCCTGCCTCTCAATTTTTTTTTTTTTTTAAGCATAAATCTTCATAGTTATATATAGTAACTAATCAACACAAAGAACCCCCAAAATCCTAGTGGTGATTGAAATGTAAAGTAAATCCGTTTAATCTTACTAGCTTTGGGGACTTTTCGTTATACATAGTTATCCTTCAGGGTTTGGAACAGTCTGTATAATTGTTTTTCCCAGAAGATTTTATGTACCATTCTTTCTTAAATTCAGATATTATCTAGTTTTTCTTAGCAGATGGATGTATTAAAGAATTAAATAGCTTTTCAGTTCTAGTTCCAAAAGTGCTATTTTAATTAGTCTTCAGAAGGTAATTGTAAGACCTTCTCACAGAATTCTTAGCACAGGACTCTCTCAAACCCTTAAAAGCTTATTCATATTTAAGAAAATACCGTTTTAATAACCAAAGTGAGCCCTAGAAACGTAATATTTGGCCAGTCTGTTAACACAAAGTCATCTGCCTACTTGATTCGTAAATAGCACTGAAGTATGTAGGCCTCACCCCACCCCGCAAGACTCAGATATTTGCAATTCTATTATAGTAAAGTTTTCACCAGGTCAACCTATCATTCCAGCTTTAGGTACTGTTAAAAGGTATGAAGTAAAATGCTACATACCACTGATTACGATTCATGGTCATCTAAATACAAGAATGCAGATGTTTTTCATTTAAATCGTTTGCTAATTTAAATATTATAATCTGTTAACATTGCTATAAAATTCCACTTCTGAAACCCTTAAAGAAATGTACATCAACTTGAAAAGGTAATGATAGCGTCATACTTTAGAATTCACTGTTAATCACCAAGGTTTCCTCCTCTTCCGACTCCTGTGGCACATGGTTTTTTTTTAAATGAATTCACGCTAACCACAAGTCATGATTTTGTCCTGAATAATTAAAAGTTTGCTTTCTTTCCCCCCATTTCCTTGCAATAGGGTAATAGAAAGCATGGCGTTAAGAGGTAGAGCCTGGACTGATCTCCTGTGTGTGTTCTGTGACCAGCAGACCTTGGCCCTTTCACATATTATTAGACTGCAGGTCAGCCTGGCTGCTTCGGGCCGAGGCTGCCGGTCTGACCGCAGCCTGGGAAAAGCAGAACAGGAGGCAGCGTGGTCAGCTTCTCTGACTGCATCCCCTCCATTTCTTAGTGTGCTGATTTGGTTTAGTGTTTCTCAAAGGTTGGGGTTGGAAAATGCGAACCCTAGATACTTGTGGAATGTTTGTCCGGCTACAGTTATTCCTTGTTTGGTGTGTCCCTCTTCCTCACTGGCATGTTGCTCTCAAGTGGACCGAAGGACATTTTGTTCTGTTGAAAGCCCCACGACCAAAAGGAAAGAATCGCAAGTATTTCCAAATCTACTTCCCAGCCTGTACCAACAACCATATACTAAGAAGCACTAAACAAGCACAGCGGAGCGCCTAACAGCCATATACTCAAAAGTATTTCTGTAACATGTCAGGGCACGGTATGAATTCCTTCCTCTTTAAGCAGCAACTTGCAGACCTGGTGTTTTTCAGTAATACAGAATTAAGCAAGAGTGTCAGATTTTTTTATGAGTTAGATGGACAAGCAGAATTTACTACCTTTTGCTTTTAACATACTTGGTTACATATTTACGTTTGCAGTAAAATGAAATGAGACCTCATAATACTGAGGGGAAAAAAATTAGCCCTCAGATTTGAATAGAACCAGTTTAAACAGTATTTTTTATTCTTTATCTAGTGTGCTATGCCCATGAAAAGTATGTGTTAAGGTATATAGGGCAAAACAGTTGATAAATTATGGTAACGAAGGGTAAAAATAGACACGTTCCTTTCTGAAAATGAAGAAGGGCTCAGCCTTGGAGCTATCTTCCATTTTTAGATGTTGTAGTCATTATTCTTAATCCCACCAGAAATATATTCATTCTGTGAGCACGTGCAGGATGGCTACCTGTTGTGTTCGTTACACTGTTCAAACACTAACAAGTGTGTGTGTGTATGGAGTTGGAATGTGTTGTCCCCGAGTGCCTCTGATGTTCATCATCCAAATTTACCTGTAAAAACACACGACCACTTCCTCTCCACACCTTAGGCTTCACGCTTTTGGAAAACAATAGTATAGTAGTTTCTATAGAAGTTTCAGTGAGGAACTATACGGTTCCAGAATAACAGATACAGTAGATTGGTTTTGCTGTGGTAAATTTTTCTTCTAAAATTCCTAATACGTCAGTTTCCAAAGGAGGAGAACGGTACCCGACATGACTTTAGAAGTAATTTCTCTCTACTTGGAGGTATATGTTTCTAATTATGTTATACATAGGTTAATATTTTTTTAAAGTTTGAAATGTTCACTGTTAGGGTACATCGAGAGCCAGTTTAGAAGTGTTTTAACTGCTGTCATTACTTCATGTGTGGATTATGGACAAATCAATATATCACACACATACATATATACACACAATCACTCAAATTGTAACATTTCGTCAATTTGTCAGATTTTAAAAACTCAGACTCTTGCCTCCTCCTGTGTATAAACTTGTGATTTTATTTTTGAGAACAGAGTTGGTCTAACTTCATCTGTCATTCCAAGGGTTTGATTATATCTATTTTTTCTTCAAAAATAATGAAAGCAATGAAAATCCAATTTACAGGGTCATCTATTGATATTTCTAGACATGGTCAAGTTCTAAAAGAATTTACTTGGTCTGCATTTTTAAGCATTTCATGTAGATAGAGTAATATGTTTTTATACAACACTTTCTACATTTATTTCAAGTCTATTTTCAGTGACTTTTTCAAGTGCATTTGTTAACAGAAGATGGTTGGAATGAGCACACAGTGGCCCTCGTTACCAGCTCAAAAGAAGTGTGTAATATGTGTGATTACAGAAAACAAGAATCTGTTTACACTGTACACCGAAACCTAATGCCGCTTTTCTAAAGCTTTGTACATTATTTTCAGGAAACAGATTAAATATTTTCCCTCTAAAGCCATGTTTCTCTCTTTTGTGCTGTTTTAAGTATATCATGAGATAATTTTACCGCTTAGAATCCTGTAAGTCATGATACTCTTTCTATAGCATTTTAAACAACTGAAAATATTTTAGGAATATATAGATAAAATTCTGTCAAAAAGGAGAAACAAGGAAATGATGACTACCAGATTAAGACTGGTAGGTAGTTTGGGTGGGAGGCAGGGAGATGAGGGTGACCATTAGATGTGAGTTGTATCAACAGCCTAGCTTGTGTGTTAAGTGACTCAGGAGTTTTTACTGAGATAAAACCAAGGGTTATGGATGATACAATTTGTGCACCTGCCTTCCATTAAAAAACAAAAGGCAATGAGGCTGGCACAAACTTGCTGAACTGCGTAGGGGTCGGGAGGATGGGGACAATGTCAGAGGGTAGGCAGCAGCCACATTTTGAGCGATTTGCATTCTGAGTTTTCGAAGTTCAGCTAGAAGCCATCAAGGAATGTTAAACAGGGAGTCATGGGATCTAGTTTACGTTTTTGAAGATCACTGTGGCTGCGGTGTGAAAAATGGATGATGAGGAATGGGGCCAGGAGAGAGGAAGCACTTAGGAAGCTATTAGCCCAAGCAATAAAGAGTGGATTATGAATTGGGTTAGTATGGGAGAAGTGGATAGAACTTGACACATTGTAGAGGTAAGCCCAATAGGATTTGCTGATAGATCTGACTTTTTGCCCGTGAAATTGGCAAAATTTAAGAAGTCTTGGTGAGGGCACATGGAAATGTGCACTTTTGTAATGGTTTAAAGGAATATAAATTATACATCTTTTTCAAGGGCTGTTTGGCAATATCTGTCAAAATTTTAAATGCATAAATGTCTTGACCCAGTAGCTGTACTTAACAGAAATCGATTCGTTCAAGTACTTGCATATGTGCACAAAAGTGTGTCAGCAATTGTAATAGTGAAAAACTGGAAACAACCTAAATGTCCATCAACAGAATTAATGTAAATATCCTATTTTATTTTTTTAACTATATAATCAAAAAAGACAAACAATGTTGGTAAGGATGTGGAGGAAAGGGAGCCCTTGTGCACTCTTAGTGGGAATGCATTAAAATTGGTGCAGCCATTATGTAAAACAGCATGGAGGTTCCTAAAAAAATTAAAAATAGACCTACCATATGACCTAGTAATTCCACTTCTCGGTATTTATCTGAAGAAAATGAAAACACTAACTTGATAAGATATATACACCCCCATGTTCATTGCAGCAGCATTTACAAGAGCCAAGACATGGAAAAAACCTGTGTCCATTTATGGATGAATGGATAAAGAAAATGTGATATATGTGCGTGTATATACGTGTGTGTATATACACACACGTATATACACAAAATACTCAGCCATAAACAAGGAAATCTTGCCATTTGCATCAACATGGATGGACCTTGAGGACATTATGATAAGCAAAATAAGTCAGACAGACAAATACCGTATTATCTCACTTTCATGTGCATCTAAGAACAAACAAAAACCCAAACAAACAAACCAAAAAACTGAGCTCATAGATACAGAGAACAGACTGGTGGCTGAGAAGTGAGGGATAGGTGAAATGGGTGAAGGGGGTCAAAAGGTACCAACTTCTAGAACAAAACTAGTTCTATACAGGTGCATATTTGTTTACACGCACACACACACACACACAAATGACATAGACAATCTTTGTACAGTAATGCAAGATTATAAAAATGACCATGCAGGGACTTCCCTGGTGGCGCAGCAGGTAAGACTGTGTTCCCAATGTAGGGGGCCCGGGTTTGATTCCTGGTCAGGGAACTAGATCCCACATGCATGCCACAACTAAGAGTTCGCATACCACAACTAAGGAGCCCGTGTGCCGTGACTAAGACCCCACACAACCAAATAAATATTTTTTTTAAAAAGACCATTCATGTAAGCTGAAACTGCAAAGCAATCTTAATTATCAATGGGAGAAAGTATTATTTTCCATGACCTTTAAAAAATTAAAATATTAAAAACTGTTATAA